CAACAAAATAAAAAATAAAAATTTGTAAAGAATTTATTGTTACCATTCATTTAGTCCTCGTAATAGATAAAATCAATAAGCTACGAAATATAATGCTTATTTCAACAATATCTATAGATACAATTAGAATTTTACAAATTCTAAATGCAATATCACATCTGAATCCGAAACAAATCAATATGTTTCGGACACCAATTTTTAAGTTTTATGCTTTTTAGTCACAAATGTATAGAGTCAGTTGAAAATCTGTAAATTAATAAATATTTGATAAATTTCGTTGTTGTAAACAGATATAGGAAGAAAAAATATCGATAAGTATTATCGGCAATACACTCGTCAATCCTATTGAATTTTATTGTTTATCAAAAATAGGTAATGTTAGTAATTACATTTGATATTACAATGATAAGTGACAGATTTTAAAGAGCCTATTGTAAAAAATTATTCCACTTCTGATGTTAGAAATTATTCTCAAAATTATTTAAATAAAAGAACACTACTCGGTAATAAACCCTGCTTACTATCAGGACCCAATTACATAATAACACCAAAGTATGCAACCGAACAACATCACTACCCATCTCGATGTAATTCAGGACAGCCTCTCAGCAACACTATATTACTTCCTACACTAGTAGAATACCCCAACGAGCATAGTAACCACAGTGAGACTCGTAGAGTTACCAACTGATGCCTCTTAGACGCCTGCGCAATACTTTTGCCTTCATTTGTTCGTATTTTATTTTTTTACCTTCATTCCCAACGTTATATTATCAAATAATTTCATTTTTTTTAATAGCAACTGTAAATCCCCTTACCTGTGGAATGTTACCACACTTTCCTTCTGGTAATAAATTTTATAAATCACGGGCACTATCATTGTTACTAAAATTACTTTTTATTATATTACTAACATGAAAAATAACTGAACTGCAGAATATACACTGTTTTTATCCTCTAAAACTTTAGAATAATTTTAGACGTTTTGAGCAACAAAACGGTCATTTGCAAATTATGTCTAATTTAGTTACTCGATGGCGGCGCTTCAAATCGGTACAAACGTTTTGTAGGGTATAATCAGTCTAGCGTACTAGTATACCTATATGGAGGTCAGTGAACCCTATCTCTACATTGTGCGTGGTCCTACACGCACTTGACCGGTTTTTATTTTATTTTTACAGCGAGGAACTGTAGTGGGCCTTTCTTATACTATGAAAGACTCAAGTTCTACAATAACAACACTACCGTTTGTTTTATGATATATTTGTATAAAAATATTTATCAAAAATTGTTACTACTTTGGTTATATTTTTGAAGTTGAAAATTAAAAAAATAGTCTTTTATTGTAACATTTTTATTTATTTAAATTAATAAAAAAAATTCTACTTACTTTCATTTTGTATAAAAATCTTAGATAACAGGATGTGTAGTTCTATACGGAAGATATCGCGACAAGGATGTAGAGATGTTTTTATGGGGTCAGGGGAAACTGCGTGGGGAAGCAAAGATTGCAAAATATTGTGAAGTAGGTACGTGTACGGGGGTGAAATCTAGTAATTTAACATATTGTACTATATCATATCATATACTTAACTGAGGATTTTTTGTATATATTGATATATTTCTTTCTCGAAAATGACACGATTTGGACTATAGGTATTTTGTTTTAGATACTTCTATCTAGATAGGTTTAAATCCTGAGAAATTACATGTGTATTTTATATAGAAAATATGTTATTTATATACTAGAATTAGAATAACGCAGAGCAAAGCTCGGTCGCCCAGGTGCTAATGTTTTATTCAATATAGATTATTAAAGAATAATTGTTCACAAAAATAAAAACTTTTTATAAAAACACATTATGTAACACAGCCTTCGGACACCAGCAACCTACTTTTAACAAATAAGACGTGGTCGTTGTGCGTAAATTATATAAGGTAATTGCATCTAATAAGGGCCGGGTTTTTGGAAATCCTTATAAATCAAGATTGGGAAGTGTGTTAATTTGTAAGACATTACGATCAAATAAACTGTTTTTATTTGAAGATAAAATATTGTACAAAAACCCGGCACCAATGGCCAGTTACTTACAAAAAAAAGTTTTTTAAAAGCTTTTTTTTGTAAGTAAAGCCCAATAAGGACCATAGTTTATTAAAAGCTATGGTCCTTATTGGGCTCTAGGGCTCTAAATAAGGTTCATAATTGAATCGTAAGATTTTAGGCATTGTATACCAGAAAAATCACATCTTTGGAAAGCAATGGCTTTAAACTACTGTTAAGTTCGTGACTTATGAATAACGAAACGGAATTTCATATAAATCAGTGTCGTGGCCCTTATAAAGTCTTAGAAAATGTATATAAGTTATTACTAATCTATTTTCTAGTTATAAGTGAAACAAGTTGTATTTTTATGCTGATTTTTATTAACTCTAGTAAATAAAATCACAAAATGTTACCAATCAGTCAAGTTTTTCAGTCTTAGTCCTTCGACCTTATTAGGTATTACACTTCTGTAATCATAGTCTGGACCTTATTAAGTGTTTGAAAATAGCAAACATGGCAACTACTGCAGCTAAAGATTAAAAGATAAATATGCACGTATATTCAGAGTTACTTATCCTTATTATATATTTTTCTGTTCAATATTCAACATAAATGTAATCTAAATAAACAAAAATTAAACAATGGCAACTTTTCACCTAATAATTTGTTAATTAAATAACTAAAAACAAAATTTAACTTGTGGGAGAACATATAACAAATATAAAAATCAAAGTAATTGATAACTTCAGACAAATTATCTAAAACTTAAATATAAAGCAAAAAGTGATAGTTTGTCTACACGGTAATAATAATAATTATAATTAATACTAACAAAAAACTAAGTTAACATCAATTGCGATTGTTACACACAATCAGAACAAAAAATATATCTAAATCATCTTTGGTACGATCCACGCATTCTTCGTGATACCACAAGTTACATGCTCTGCATCGCCGCATTCCTAGCATTGTATCTATGTTACAAGCTGGGCAATACCAGCTTTCTTTATCCTTTATTACTTTTATGTTTTTTTGTGCCACTTGCCGGGCCACCTGCTTATTTACACTTATATAAGTCATTTAAGTAACTGATCATGCCTATTTGTTAACTTCGTACTCCTAATAAGGTCCGGTCCTTATTTAGTGGACAACAAGTGGACCTCGTTAGGCACTTAGATGTTTCCTGAGAAAACTAAACAAAATCGTGTTAAAAAGCAATAATTTTGGTAACGTTCCCAGTCAATCCACCTTCTGAAAGTATTTTAACATTACTATTGCAAACGACCGGGTTTTATTACTAAAACCACGCAAAATTGTATCAGAATATTTTATAAATTGAGTCACATCGACCACCCCTGAGGTTACAAATAGAGCCACTAATAAAATGGACACCGCGAAAGCAATGAACGTCATTGCGCTTTTGTGATTAGTTACTAGGGAGGGGCCGCGCGATATCCGTTTTGATTTAAGTTTGAAAAGATGGACCTCATTAGGAACCGGCCCTTTTTAGGCGGACCTACCTTAGTTGAGAGAATGATACTACTCTAGGCAGTACAGGAGTCCTAACATTTAGTAAAGCACCAAGTAACATTTCATATTATATCTAATTTGTATAATAATATAAATTAATATAAATACAGATAAACCTCCTACAACTCACATGGGATGATATGGAGTAGTGGATAATCTTACACTGCCACTACATGCTTAATATATTTTATGTACACTATATTTTATTTGTATAAATATAAATATATTGTTAGAATATATTTTGATTAGGTTGATTTACTTGAGGCAATGTTCAAAATCTTGAAGTCGGAATGTTATGGACCGAAGGCTTATAAAGTCATCTGATTCCTTTCCTTTTCTCCACTTGCCTATTCTATTTTATTGAATATATTGTCTAATACCTAACTTACCACACAACAATGAAAGTTACTAATGTTTAATTATGTTGTGATATATGACATTTTCTATTTTTATCCTCCGACGAAAACAGAGAGGCGTTACAAGTTTGTAGTGTGTATCTGTGTGTCTGTCTGCTATATCAGCTATATTACTGGTATAGTTGTAGCACTAATGGGTCGGCTCGACCGGGGAAGGACCACGCTGTCACAGAATACCAGCGTAATATAGCTGCTTAACGCTGCTGTATTTCGTAGGGTGAGTGTAGAGAACCAGGGATACTTTTTACTGGAAACGAGGCATTACATCTTAGTCCTCACGGGTGACCACGCATATGCATTTTGATTAGATGTAGATGTCTATGAGCCACAGCAAACACTTACCGTCAGGTGGACTGTGTGCTCGTTTGTCACCCTTATCATATAAAAAAAATAACCAATTTTGCTTTAGTTTTTTTTTTCATTTGAAGGGTGTCTTAATCGAGTGTTCTTAGCTATGTTTCAAGAAAATCTGTTCAGCCGTCTGAATATCATCAGCTCTTTGTTTGGGTTTTTTTTAATTTTATATTATATTATATTAATATGTGGATATCGTTAAGATACACATTCTGTAATGGTATCGATTAGGGTTAATAAGCTATACTATGGGAAAAACCCCTTTTGTTATGTGGTAGAGCCATGCTGCAGCTATAATAATAGTACAGTTGTATCACGAATGGGTCGGCTCGACCGGAGAAGGACCACGCTCTTACAGAATAGCAACTTAACGCTCCTGTGTTTCATATGGTGAGTGTAGAGAACCGGAGACCCTTTTTACTGGAAACGAGGCATTTCATCTCAATCCTCAGAGGTGATATTATCGCATCTGCATTTCGATTCTTAATTGAGGATAAATGTAGATGTCTATGGGCCACAGCATCCACTTACCATCAGGTGGACTGTGTGCTCGCTTTTTACCCTTATCCTATTAAAAATAAAACCATAACCAGAAGTGAACTTTACGACATGATGAAAAACAAAGAAAGTTATAATATTGTCAGTTTGATTTCCAGATCAACACATCAACCCTATGAGTTCTTTTCGATACTGGCTAACAGAGTATGCCACATATGCGATAAGAGGTGTGTAACAATTATGAGATTGCAGTACCATTATAGGTCAGCTCACTTGAACAAAGATGGTGGCCTTTGTTCGGTATGCCCCAAAACGTTCCGTTGTTATAAAGCCTGGAGGAATCATGAGAGGCTGCATAAAGGAAGCAGATATATCTGTGATCTCTGTGGACATAAGTATGAGATTTTATAAAAAATATGATTTCAAGTCTCAATGTAGTTTAGTAATGACAAATAAATTTCAGGTTCTTATATAGGCATCAAATAAAGATACATCTGGCGGAACATTCCGATGTAAGAAGTTGTATTTGCGATATATGTGGAAAAGGTTTTAAGAGAGCGTCTTATTTGAAGGTAAGTCTGAAATGTGCCTTTATTTCCTCATTCCACTTTCCTTTCATATGTCGCCCAAATATTTTGAGTGACTGACCGTTTATACAAAACTCACGTTCATACAAAAATAAATTACTTCTAAAGACGTGTCACTTAAGTATATAAAACGTTTAATGGCGTCAATGAGTAAGTTCTTACCAAGGCCGATTCAGAAGGCTTTGAAATAAAATTAAAATCAAATAAAAATATTACCATTGATTTCGTTTAATAAAATTAAATGCAAAACTCGTTTTCGTAGATCCGAACGTTTATAAAGACTTCACAATTCGCTTGGTAATAAAAACGAGATAATTTTAAATGCAAAAAAATGTAAAATTAATTTTATTGTTTGCTATTTATCATACTTAGTTTAAAAGATTAATACTCTTTTAATTTTTAAATGAATGTTGGTCCTAAATATTCAATATTTTTTTAAAGGAACACGTGAATACTGTACACACCAAAGAGCCAGTAAAATGTACACACTGTAATAAAATGTTTAAGTGTCCGGCAAACTTGAAGGAACATTTAAAATACGTCAATAAACAGAAAAACTTTCAGTGTGAAGTGTGCTTGAAATATTTCTCATCGCCAACTTCGCTCAAGAACCATATGTTCTGGCACTCCGGCGAGAGGCCTTACAGTTGTGAAAAATGCGGAGCGAAATACAAGGCGAAATCGCAACTGAAAATTCATATGAGAAAGCATACTGGACAGAGACCTTATCCGTGCGAACAGTGTGATAAATGTTTTTCAACTTCAATGCAACTTAAGCGTCACAGAAGCGTCCACACTGGGGATCGTCCGTACAAATGCACGATTTGCACCCGATCGTTCTACTATAAGAAATTGTTACTGACACATTGCACTTTGAAGCATAAATGTGTTGATGTAAAGTCTGAAATAAGTTCACAGTAATCGTATAATGTGTTGCATTTAGTTTATGGAGCTATACACGCTTTGTTACAAATCCGCTTACTAATATCTCTCGGCGATAAATACCTATTGGCATTTTAAGAGGATAGCCGGGAGGCAAGGCAATTAAATCACTAGCACTAGATCTTTCAAAAACTTTGACAGATCTAGGGCTGTCACGGTTAACTCGAGAGACCTAGCTAGACAACTGAGAAAAACTGCAGTTTAGAGCTGTGAAGTAAGCTCTTTTTGAAGATACCCATTTTTAATAGTGATTAATTTATTGAAAAAATAAAACAGAGGAACATGACAGTGGTAGGTATACATTATATTGTAAAGAAACATTTAGGATATTTTTATTGTAGAGAAATACTTAAATATTTATAATTATGAAGGAAGAAAGCTTAAAGGAATACTTCTGTTGGGACTAAACTCCTCTTGGACATGGATACTAACAGTTAATAATATATATATATATATTTGTTTTGTAATATTTTTGTTAATATATAAATATTCGACGTGATTTCGTTTTTCTTTCTCCTCTGCTTGTTTGACAAACAATAAAATAATCATCATTAGCAATCATCACATCTTTATCGCTAAAAGGAGCCCTCTTACCGTGGTTTATATTCTACTTTCCAGTAGAAGATATTATACAGTAATATCTTTAGAATACACTGATTGCTTTTAGTCATTAGGTTATCAGATTTTTTTGAACCTCATCTAAGATGGATTCATGGAGTTAAGGGTCGAAGCTTTGCTTTTTAAAAAACGTTACCCCCACACTAGGATTTTCTCCTGTGTCGTGGAGGCAGTTTACAAACATAAATTGCACAAGGACAAACATCCAGACCCGGAACAATTATTTGTAGGCCATACAAATACTTGTTCCGTGCGAGATTCGAACCCGCGGCCCCCACCACAACAACTGATTACTAAGCCACTACGCCACGGAGCCTACCCGGCATGAAGCAGCAATGCTTCATGCCGGGGTAGCTTCTTACTTTATAAAAAGCGCAAGGTCGGTCGTGCATGGAGTACTACTGTCACATATGGGCTGATACTGCAAAATGCCACCTAGCAGCATTGGAATCGGCGGAGAAACGAGCTAAGAGGCTTATTGGTAAACTTGATTTGGTTAAAACCAATCTTGTCAGCTTCGAACACACGCGCAGAGTAGCCAGCCTTATGGTATTCTCTAGGATACTTAAAGTAGGTCTTTATAAACTAAACTTTTTTCATATACAAAATTTATGCACATATTTATGGTTCCGTACCTCAAAAGGACGGAACCCTTATAGGATCACTTTGTTGTCCGTCTGTCTATCTGTCTGTCAATACCCTTTTTCTCGGGAACGCGTGGAGGTATCAAGCTGAAATTCATATTAAATACTTAAGTCTATTGTCCCTTAGAGCTGTGAAAAAAATCAAACTTCTAAGCCAACGCAATCAAAATATACAGTCATTTATGCCGTAAATTTTCGACATTCGCAAGGGAATTATAACAACCTACAAGGGTACTTACCGTGAACTCAGAATCTTGAAATTTGGTACGAAGCAACGTTTTATAGCACAGATAAAGGAAAAATTGCGAAAAGCATACATTTTTTGTTACATCATATAATAAAAATATTTTTAAAATTTTTAAACTTATATACCTACAGATTTGTTCGGAACCCTCGGTGCGCGAGTCCGACTCGCACTTTGCCGGTTTTTTACTTTACCGTTACAGGCAATCAAAAACCCACTGTTGAACATAAAGCGTCCCCTATAGATTACCTTATAGGAGGAATTTTGCTATAGTTACCACGCTTGGCAGGAGGGTGGGTAACCGCAGTTGTTATTATTTTGAGATATAGGAAGACGTTGCTGTCCATCTCCTGTTTGTTTCCCTGTCGTCTCTTACGTCACCTCAGGGCGATTTGGGGTAGTGGTTCTTACACCGCCACTACACGGTAAATTAAATGAATGGTGTTATAAAACAATAGTTTTTTTTTAGGTTAACGCGATTACTACAGTGAGTTAAACTGTGTTTAAATATTTAATCACGAATAACTGTAATGTAACCATCCGGGACAGTGGCGTAGCTGTGTAACCAAGGGCCCCGGGGCAAAAATGAAATTTGGGTCCTATTTAAACTAAACTAAATACTTTAAAGGTACAAAACTACTTCATCATCAGCTCCTTGTCGCCCACTTCAGGGCATAATAAAGCAAAACTACTTACTACTAAGTATTATGTGTAACGCATAAACAATGACGAAGTTGATTACAGTTAATAATATAGTCGGACAACATAACAGTGGAAAAGCCACACGGCATGGGTTGATCGGCTCGAACCGAGGAAACCCACGATCTTACAGATAACCAGCGTGAAGTAGAAGTTTATTTCGCCTGTTAATTGCAGGTATAGGCCCTGCTCTTCCCCTTAGCATGGTAGTGTAATTAAATAAGAAACCATCCCAGGAGAGTACCAGTACCCCCAGTATTGGGGAATCCCTGGCTGAGCATCCACGCCCAAGCCACCCTACTCTTCCTTAGCACGGGTGCTCGGGCTGGCGTATCGTGGGAGAGGGGAGGGGGCTACAGCTCGTGGCAAGTAGAGCAATAAGACAAAGGTGATCCCTGCCACGCTATCCGTGAATTTCTGCAACATCAGGGGATTTCATTCGAACATTAATGAAGTCCACTAGGTACCACCTGAAGAACTGCAATTCCCCTGATTCAGGGGGAAAAATATATCAAAAATTATTATTTTAATGCACAGTTGTAGTTTTATTTTATGTTTAAACATTCAATTAACTATAAATGTCAGCACTCGCTCCGGGCGCTTTAATTAAACATTGTTTAAATGTTACCATATTGTATTGTGTTTGTTTGCAACGGGCTGTTTTCCCCAACTCCACGTCTAAAGCGCGCATTGTGTTGTTTCAAGGCTCGTCATCCTCCTGTCCACATAAAGTAAAGACTATTTGCGTTACTCATCTGGGACCTAATTTCATTTCCGAAAGGTTTTCAGGGCAAGGAAGTGTCCGCCACGCTGCCTCAATGCGTGTTGGCGGAACATGTTTTCGATTTATTTTTTTATTACTCAGACATGCAAATCTTAATATCTTCACGATTATAGCTTATACTTGCGATTGTCGTTACTCGGCGAAACTTCAGACTTGGATACGCACTTGTACCTTTTTCACAATATTTATTTAAATTATTAATTTGCTAAACTATAAGAAACGACCGGTTTCGCCTCACGGCATCATTAGGGTATTTAAGATTACCGTGTAATTATATGTATACGATTATTTCCTTTACCGTCAAGCACGTGGTAAATCAACACTTAACATTGAATTAACAATTTCGCCGGTGATGACAATGTTAAGTGATGTCTTTCGCGCAAACGAACTCCCACCATCAGCTTTCTTACACGAAAAAAGGATTACATCGAGCAAAATAAAACACTGCCACCTCAAAGCCGCGAACAAAAATAAGATTAGTTTTTGTCCGTGGTAGGTTGAAACGACAAGATTTTATTCATATAGTCTTGTAAGCTGTGCTTTAGGATGTGGAACAATTTTTTTATGTAATGTGTTAACCCAAAGCTAAATACGCCTATACATCATATTGTATGAAGTTTAAATAAATAAACAAATAACAAACATAACATTAATACTTACGCTTGTCACCCAGAGGTGTAAGCAGAGACTACCGACGTCCATTTGAAACGACCCTGACACACCTCTCGCCTTCTTCACATCCATATACCTATGCATACAAAGCTAAATTTATTTTTATATGCTCTTTTGATCTTCGTGGGTCATGTTTATCCAAAGAGATATAATCCATCAACGTCGAAGGCAGCCTGTCTCGTTAGCATAATGAATTAACGCCTTTTGTCAGCTTTGTTCCTACGAGTAATAGTACTTTAAACACGACATGACACGAGATGTCTATTAATTTACACATTGTTGTTGTTCCTTCGCTTTTTACCCAACGGCCCTTGAACGAGGGTAGGTAGTGTTTTCGGGTATTTGTATATGACCTTCTTAATATCATGCATTCTGACAACTGTTTAGTAGTAAAGTAAGTACTTGGGCGGACATTCTTTTCTAAAGGCGAGTGTTTAGAAAAAAAACTTATCAGAGATAAACTAGGAACGTTGTTAGAGCTGTTTCTGAAACACTAATCTTTGCCTGAGATTACGTCCGCGTAAGTAGTCGGAAATAATATTTTCGTTGATTCTCACATTTTCCAATTTCAAACAAAGAAGACTACGGTTGCCTTGTCACTTCTGAGGACTAAGATGGACTGCCACGTAGCCTCTAATTATACTGCATCTCTACACATTTAAGACCGACTCTTAGGCAGAAGCAGTGTCATCCCAGTATAACTTTAGAATAGTGAAATAACAACTGGCCAAAAACTCGCTGTTTTAAGAATGCTAATTGAAGTTACCCATACCGCAGTAAATGGAAGGATTTAAAGAAAACTTAGTACTTGCGTTATGCAACGTACAAGTTTTGGGCACTCGATATTTCGAACAGCCAACATATAGCTTACCATGCAAAAAGCACGGTGTGCTTAATGGGTAGGCATTATTTCATCATCATTCTGAACATAGGCCTCCGCCAAGGAATGCCACAAAGCACGGTCCTGAGCCACCTGCATCCATCGACTTCCTGCACGTCTTACCAGATCGTCACTCCATCTAGTGGGGGGACGCCCTACACTTCGTCCGCCGGTACGAGGCCGCCACTCGAGAACCTTTTTCCCCATCGGTTGTCGGTTCTTCGAGCTATATGGCCGGCCCATTGCCACTTCAGCTTACTAATCCGTTGGGCTATGTCGGTCAATCTGGTTCTACATTTTTACGTTCTCTTTTCTAAGTTTATCACGCAGAGAAACCCCGAGCATAGCCCTCTCCATAGCTCGCTGAGCTTGAGCTTCCTCTGAAGAAATCAGCTGGACTGGAGGCAACAAATTCTTTAAAGACATTTTGAACTGCCTCTCGGGTATTGAATTTTTTCCCGCCAAATATTTATCCAAATTCTGGAAAAAGTAGAAGTCTGTAGGCGTAAGGTCGGTATAGTGAGTACGGCGGATGACAGAGAGCTTCCAACCCCAGCTCTTTTAACTTGGAGACTCTCTCTTCCAGTAAAAAGGGTCTCCGGTTCTCTTCACTCACCATACGAAACACAGCAACATTAAGCTGCTATTTTACGCTGGTATTCTGTGAGAGCGTGGTCCTTCCCCGGTCGAGCCGACCCATTCGTGCTACAACTATACTATTAATATAGCTGCAGCATGGCTCTATCACGTAAAAGATAAAATCCTTGTTTCGTAGAACTTTAGCGGTCTAAGTTTTAAGAATGTCGCAATATGACGTAGAGTTTAAAGTCGCATTAATTTTTATTTACACTCAATTTCAGCTTCGAATAGCTTTTGAATTGAATTGGCTTCGTCTCGACAAGCCATGCCCGACTTCTTCATATCTTTTAATATTGTTTAAACTTTTGTTAAAAGTTG